ATCATTATAATAATTATTATTCGAATATTCCGATACTTCGATCTCACAATTACAGTATTCGTGTATTTTATTCCAATCAATTTACTGATATCAATTGATTAGAATTGTTTTCTTATATGCACCGATGCATGCATGTGTCATAATTATACACGTGTGTAATAATTATAGGCAAAAAGCGTTTCAGAGTTATTCGAATTAGAAAGCTCGATTTATAATGCACAACCATCAGTCGGATACCAAGAGAATATTTCTATTTCTATTGAAACATCCTTCCACGGCGGTTAAAACTAATTCCAACGGTCGCAATTTAACATGAAACTGGCAACGCATGCGTTCACACCTAATAACAGCACCGAGGCAAAACCAAGCGACCCTAACTGCAGAAACAAGACAGGAAATCATTTATAAAGTGGAAAGTACCATATATTAGCAACGACGGTATTGGGAAAGCTACGGTTAATGACAGTAAAAACGTCTTCATCAAGGATCTATAAAACATTCGTGTCATTAGAAAAAGGGATTATGTAGGCACCACCGAGGAGAAAAATGAGTTTTCTTCCGAGCAGTCGAGTACGCACAAAAACCTGTGTCAGATGCAAAGATCAGCCCTTGATATTGTCTCTGCGGTCCGTTATAATTCCTCCGATCATAATTAATCGAAGACGTGGAAAAAAGAGCGCACGAGTCTTTTTTATCCGCCAAGTATATTAAAATTATTCTAACCATCATGTGGGTATGAAACGTTAATTAGTCGCTGATACGCCTTGGGCGGCCGGGATCGCTACTCAAATTGATCTGTTGCATAAAAAGATAGGAGAAGAAGAAGGAATCAGGTTAGTTGATTTCGCAGAAGTTATGCACTGCTCAAGTTTGAAGTTGTACTACGATATTTTGTGTACTATTAAAAAGGAGAATAATTGGGTCGATACATTCATTATGACTCCATTTATTAAACTGGTATATTCATAAGCTTGAACAAACAAAAAAACTCGGAATATAAAAACCTAAATTTCTGGTTGAAACGTTTATCGAAACATCGGCCAACCGTAGCTGACAAAAAGATTCTCGTGTCATAATTGCATCTGTTTGAAAGACAAACAAGCTCCGAGCTTTTTCAAACGAGACACCCAATCATTAACGACGCTTTTAGGGAAACAATTATGGATATTTAGAGACAGTTATCGTAAATAATCAAGAATTCGCTTGATTGATAAATCAGTTTGCTCCTCGTTTTAGTGTTACAAAACATACAAGAAATCTTATAAACTAAAACCTAAATAAATCTCTCCAGAACAACAGATCTACAAACTGTGCGCCTTGGCCATTCCGAGCAAATATTTCCACAGCTTACAATATCATACTGACACTCGTATCTCGCAATCAAAGGTCCTCGACTCGAGCCCTTGGGACCAGACGTCAATGAAATCTTCTCGTGAGGTCAATTTTCTTTGTTTACAGCCTCGCGAGTCCTCTTTCCGGGATTTAGACGATCGTACGTCAACGGTGAAAGTACTTAGCGACGCTGAACGCCGAGAGCTTAATGCAAATCGAAGGGAGAATCTCGCCGACGTATTCTCATTTGCATAACGTATTGTTGCTTTTGAACCAACCGGCGGCTTACGGCGAGCGCGGCCAGAGAGATCCATTCTGGCTGGTAAAAATGGCGACGACCTTACGGGCGGATAAATTCGACGCAGACCTAACGGGGTTATTGTTATCGTCGGCGGTCGACGTATAATCAGGCCCTTAACACTGAAATTATTTTGACAGGGGATTACTTCGGTTTTTAACCAGTTGCAGAGGAATATTTCAAGGAGAAAATTTCGTCACTATAACTCGCCAGGAGGACATTATTTTTACTTGAAAAAAATTCAGCTTATTCTCGTAGCATCAGTCTCGTCTCCTAAACAAATCTATTTTAAAAACAATTCATAATTTCTCATAGAAAAAAAATCCGAAAGATCGCCATATTTCAAGGCCGTTAGAGCATCGTACTCTTTAAATTCCAGAGCGAATAATCCGAAGGTACTAACGAGGAGAAGAAAGCTTATGCCTGCACTTGATTCGTAACACAAATATTTAGTTTCTCGACCAGTCTCATCCTCGATCCTCTTTGATAAATGAAACGCAAGAAGATTGATGACCAGCTCGTGAGAAACTGTATCAGAAATCGACTCTTGTTCGTTCTCCATCGCGGATTCCCGACGAAATTACTCGGTCGTCGCTTGAATAAGAACATTCGATAGATCTATAGAGGCCTGACGCGCCTCGGGTGTTGCATTCGCATCCAGGATTACGCAATGCCGGCGTGAAATTAGATCTCCGCCTCCTTAAGTGAACGCAACCGCGCACCTTTGTTCCGCGGAGGCCGTGCAACGCACTTGGTCATTGCCTCTTTTTTCCCTTCGTCTCGAAAATGATCTACGACAACGTAATAATTAGCGATCGCTCGATCGTTGCGTGTCCGTTTCAACGTGCTGCAGCTAAAGGTGCTCTCACATTTAACGAACGACCTCAATAACGGCTGCCGCGGAAACGAGTTTCGATTCACCGTTCAGAATAATCAAAAAATAATTTTAAACGCGACATAGTACCGTGGATTGTATGGTCTTTCAACGCATGAGTGTATATGAACGCACAGTGTCTTTTTTAAATTATTACAATGGAGGAATTCCAAATTAAAACGTTAGATGACAGACTATGTGGAATATTTTAATTCATTTCAGGTTAATCATGAATCTAAGTAACAAAACTCGAGAACATCATCAATCTGGATTAGTTTAACAAGGCACTGTGATATCAGCATTAGCTAAAGATAGATTTCCTTTGCGTTATAAGGTTCACGAACGAAAGAGGCGTGGAGATATCCCATAAAAATATCAATTTCAAAAAATACCCACGAAAATATCAATCTTATCGATCCCTTCGAACCGTTTCACTGTCAAAGGACAACAGATTCCACTAACAATCTCGATAATTCGACGTCTGCAGCGTCACGCCCGCAGAATCCCTCGTTTGCTCGCCTAACCACTCGTTGAAGTCACCGAAACTGCGCGCAGTTGCCCGCATGACGGATGTCGAACATTTTTTAAGCGCTCGCTATAAAATTGATATCGTTTCGTCAGAGCTCCGTGAACCAGTGTCGCGCATTCGCTGCGCGATCGTTACGAAATAATCCAATCACGAGCGATTGAGCGGCGTTCGAAAAGGATGATTGATAAGTCCTTTCAGCGCGCGTACGATGAGCTTCGTCATCTCGAAGATTTCATTCCCGACGATGTTCCTGCTCGCGTCGGCTTGAAATTACTGTCGCTCGAAAATCTCGAGGATCTCCAACGGTGTTTGCATCCTTCAACTCTCCCCGTATTTGTGCGCGGACGAGTGCGCGTGTGTTGTTACGCGACGCGCGAAGGAACACGACGCGAACTGTTTACGCCCGTATTTCACGTTTCCGAACGCGTTAACGGGTCGTTAATTGCGAGCTGCCAAAACGTGGCAGGTGCGGCGAGCACAGGTGTCGGTGTTTGATTTGGCTGTCAGTAATCGCCGCACGCGTGAATAATCGTGATTTTTTGGCGATCTAGACCAGTTCTCACAGCGCGTGGAGCGTGCTGTAATTCGGTACGTGAAGTGGATAAGTCTGTACATAGCCAGTGCACGCGTATGTCAATTCGCACACACGTGGTTGGAAAGCTTGCGAACAATTCATGAGATAACAGGCGAGCGTCGGGATATTAATGTTACTTTGATTGATATTGCCTTTCGCATAATGCCGTATTCAAGATCTAGGCACACAATGACATAGATTAATAAATGGCATTGAATATTCCAGAGGCGTGCGGTGGAACTGCAGCTGACAAACAGTATTGATCCTACATAGAGGCTTGATAAGATCAAGAATCGAGTTCGTAAGCTGGTACTTCCTTGTCGACAACAGGATACTACGCAATCGGCTTGAAACATTATAGTGCATGGCTGCGAAGCTTCCTCTTGGACTTCGGGACATTTACCGTGTGATTCACAGAGGATGGCAACCCTGCCAGACTGTAAAGTGCAACTCTTTGGTCTGCATAGTAAAATGGCAAATCTCTGAGATGTTCAAAGGGAAGTCTGTTGCAGACAATGAAGGAGGAGACTTTGAGTCTAGACAGTAAAATTGTTAACTGATTGAGACGTTCCAAGGTAAACCCTTGTTCCAAATAATGAAGTAGCAAATCTCTAAAACATTCGAATAGAAACCTCTAGTTGCAGACAATGGAGTAGCACACCCCTGATCCAGAAAGTAAAATGGCAAACCTCTGCACCAGAAAGTAGAGTAGCAAACCTTTTAAGCATCCACTGAAATAGGAAGTGCCAGCCATGAAGAATCAAATGCAAGCCATCCACGTGTGCCTCGAATCTCTTCTCCAAACAACTCACCAGGAACTATGACGAACACGAGAATCAAGTTACGAAAACCTCGAATATCTTATTCTCAAATACAAACCACCGATATTCCTCTGAAGATGAAAAGCGAACCCACGCATACCTCGAATCTCTTCTCCATACGTCACAAAAGGACCCGTGTCATCGAGAGCCTCTCGAACACTTCCTAAATACACACTGCTCTAACTATTTCTATTAGAACGATTCGTGAAACGCGTCCACTTCGGATCACGGTCATCTTTCCAGGTTAAAACCGTTTCGGATCCGCAATAAACGCTTCCTGGCTACCCAGCACGAGACTGTTTCAGCTAGGCAGCTCGCTGTGCCTGGCCAGCGAGTGTGGTTGTCGCCGCACGCAGCCCGCAGCGTCTGCCCACACAGGACCCACGAGCGCGCGTGCACACTCGCGCGGAGGCGAGCGTGTATCGAAACGCGCACGATCGAGCGCAGACACGTTCAGAGGGGACACGCAGACATCCGCGGGAAGACGTTCACCGACACAAGGCGAACGCGTAGCCCCGGCCAGCGCACGTACGCGTGTGTACTATACCGGAACAAGTCGGAGAGTGACTAACCTCTGCGAATAGAAGATGGACGTCCACGGGGATAGCTGGCAGGAATAATCCTTGGGTCGACAGCTGACTCGTCGCTCGGCTGGCTAACCAGCCGCGAGAACGTGGCACCGATCGGTCACTAAACGCTCCTCGTGGACGCTCGTGTCCACGGCATACCGGACGCGGCTTCTGGACGTTGCTCGGACACGTTACGCCAGAAAACAACCGCACACCAAAGTTCACTATACACGCGTCTGAGTGTGTGTTCGCACCGATAAACGAAACTTACATTCGATCCGTGAGATCTATCACTTCCGGGAGGGATCGTAGACTGTGTTCAGTTCCGGTCACTGATGGAAACGTCGTCTCGGTGGCACCAGGACAAACCAGGTCGAGGAACCCGGTGGGAGATCGACTCGAGGACGTCCCAGTCGCACGGAAGCCGGCCGAGGAACCCGTGCACGGATCCAGCGCGAGGTGAACGGGACGTCCGCGCGCTCGCGCGCCCGGAAACACGCTACCAGATGTTGACGTCTCGCCAGGACCCCGGACGTCGCCGGCGACGCTCGCGTACGCGAAAAACACTCTCACTCGCGAATCGACACGGACACGTATGTTCCGGTAGCTGCCACCGCGACGGCACCGCGAACGTCTATCCTCGCCGTTCCCTGGAGCACCGGGGGGACGAACAGGCGTGTACAGTTACGGTTATCCTCCGGGAGAGCACACGCCTTCGAAACCGATCAGGATTAGCGTGCGCTTCGAGAGTCTGGCTCCGGGGCGAGGATAACTAGGCGCGCACAGCTTCGGGTCGACGCTGGCAGAGTTCACACTTTGCTCGGAGAGCAGAGGCACCGGGCCTGGCTGTTCCCGTGAGCAACCACTCGAGACGATCGGGCACAGGTCGTTGCCAGCCGAACGACGTTACTCGCGACCACCGAGACCTCAAACGCTGGACACTCGTTTCCACCTCGTGGTTATCGCGAATCCCGTCGCGTTCGATGCTACCATCCCGGGGTACGAGGGCAGGGGGACCCAACTGCGAGCGAAGCGGACCCAACGTGGATCCAGCTGTTCGTGGACGCCGATGTTGTCCGGGACAGTGTCACGCGGCCATAAACCGTATTGCTCGCCGGCGACCGTACGACTGTACGCGTGGTGGAGGTGGAGGAAGGAGGCGATGGAGGTAGCGGCCTGAGGTAGTGGCAGGGGGGCAGAGGTGGGGCGGGGGAGGGAGGGAGGGAGGGGGGAGGGAGGGCTTCTTCGTGTTCCTCTTCGAGGCTGGCTCGGTGCACGTTTGGCTCCTTGATCTCCTCGAATTCTCTCCTCGCCGCGCAGGCTGCTCGCCGTCGGGGCAGGAATTTGTTTTTCTCGGGCGAGAGAAGCCGGATGTCGCGACCAACGGGAAGAGATTTGCCCCCCGAGCGAATTTCTTTTCCCTTCCGCCGCGCTACGGGAATCGTACGTCGACCCGAGAAAAACGGCGCTTCCTTGAACCGGGGTGGAGGAGGAGGGAGAGGAAGAGGAAGAGGTAGAGGGAGAGATCCAGTCGATGCAGACGTTGACGCCTGTCAGCGTTCACGGCATGTAGCGACAGGTTATGGACGATTCGAGCTACTATTCGCGGATACCAAACGTGAAAGTGACGAACGCGACGATCCAACGGGTTCACCGGGCGCTTCCAAGGGGTCCCGACCGGACACGGGGGAACGAGGAAAGGGAGAACGCTGGAACGAAACTGGGTAGAGGAGCCAAGCTCGTAGCGACGACGGCTGCGGCGGCACCGCGACGTCGGCGAGGCAAGGCAAGGCACTGCTCGCCTGGATGTCTTACGGTGGCCGCGGTTCGGTCTATGGCGTGCATCATGGTGGACTTGCAGCGGTATACCTCGCCGGGGCTTCGCCGCGTCGACGAAAGGGGGTAGAGAGCTGGCCAGGAAGAGAGGCGCCCCGGGTTGAACAGAGACGATCACGCCGAGTACAACGAGCCTGGAGAATATATACTAGGTAGGTAGGTAGGTATGTATTTCGCCTCGGGCGACTCCAGGTATAGCGGTACTTCGACCCCTCCCCGCGCCCTCTCTGACCCCCCTACTCCGTGCACGGTGCCACCACTCGTTCGCGGGCCATCCCCTGGCCCCCCTGAACACCTTGCCGCCACCACTACTTACCTGCGATGTCCTCCTCCACCTCTTCTTTCCTCTCCTTCTCGACTGTACTGGTACCCCACGTTGCCCTCGGCCCCCCTCGCCGCTCAATTCTACCTCCGACGATACCACCGGTCCCGTGTCTCTATGTATATACGCGTATATATACGTTTCCGATGCTGCTGCACGTGTCGCTCGACACATCGACTCCGCAGGTACAGGATCGTCCGTGTACCCCGGTCGAATCGCTTTAGGTGGATACCGAAGCGTCGGTGTTTGGATTCACACAGACGCAACCGGACGTACGGTCCGCGGTCTATCGGTGGGTGCCGCCACTGCACGGTGCACGCCAGAATCACTCAAGGACGCAGGCCGCAAGCTTTTCGGGCCTGACTCGACCTACTGCTGCTCTAAGAGGCCGTTCCGACTGACGGAGACTTCGACGGCCGCATAGGACGGGTCCCTGCCCTCCGTGCCACGCGCGCCGCGACAAATAGAGCCACGGTGCATCCTCATCCGTGGCTTTTGTTGCGATTTCACCGCACGGATGGCTCGCGACGAAGGAAGTTTCTGTGAGGCGTTTCTGAGAGGACTCTGGGGGGATCCCTTGGGTTCTGGGGTGCTGAAGGGCCATTCGGTTGGGAAGCGTGAGCGCGAAGAGCGCGATTGCGTGGGTATTTAAGAAAAATTAAGATTTCAATTATTTGTGGATATCAGTATTCATGAAAGGTGTAAGTACAGATATTTATTTGTATATGTAAAGATATCGTATTATGTAGGGTTCTTTGATGAGAGGTTATTGCTATTTCATATTTAATTAATCCACGTGTATATTATAGGGATTTTTGGTTCGGATTTTCGTATTTCAGAAAAATTAAGATTTCAAATGAATTATTTGCGGATATCAGTATTCATGAAAAGGTATAGGTATAGATATTTATTTGTATATGTAAAGATATCGTATTATGTAGGGTTCTTTGATGAGAGGTAATTGCTACTTCATATTTAATTAATCCATAATTATGTTATAGGGATTTTGGGATCGGATGGGCCAAAGAGTCTATCTCTGGCTACTCTTCCAATCGCATTTTTCTTTGAACCTTTTATACGGTCAACCCACATTCTTACCATGCTCTATACTGGCACCGTGCAACCGATTCCTTCGTCCAAACATTCGCCCGATCCGTTCGCTTTCTTCCAAACGCTCTTCAAAATTGTCGCACGGTCCGAATACTCTTCTAACATTGCCTATGTATTCGTCGAATTCGTCCACACAAATTACCATACGTAACATGAATTCTTTCCTCACACCCTGCAATATTATATACTGTCAACCCCATAAGTAAACGTACCCTCTGTATCCATTAAAGAAATTTGCCTAAATTAAATAATAGTAATGAATACTATGTATCGTTGCTTCAAGAAGCCCAGCAATGAATAATCACCACCTAGCCAAATGTCACAAAACGTTAGGAACACAAAAATGCAACCCTAATCCTACCATTGCTTCAAAAAGACCAGCAACAAACGAATAACACACACCCAATAAATGTTACACAATATTGGAAGCACGAAATGGATCCCTAATAAATCCCGTTATTATTTGAAAAAGCCCAGCAACGAACGAATAATCGACACCTAACAAATACCTCGTTCCTCCCACGAAAGAAACCAAACAATTATTCCAACAATCACCTATGGATGTTCTCCAAATAGCAAAAGTCGAAGCGATCCCGAACAGCGGCCTCGCGACAAAAATACCGGCCGATCTTGATTAATAACCGTGGTCGCGAAAAATCGCGAGCGCATCGAGGTTGATCGCGCAAAACAACCGACAGTTGCGCGCGGGAGGGGGAGTAGAATCGCAAAAAGTAGAGAAACGCGCGTCTGATCGATGATGTCAGAGAACGGGAAGGATGCGGCGTTATCGACGTCTGCACGTGCGCTGGTATTCCGCAATTAAGTCCCGTGGTCTCTGTCTCCGTTTTTCTCCGTCCTTGTTCGTTTAGCCGGGTCCGGATCGACGGCGATCCTGGCCAGCACGTGCACGCCGGGTACACGCGCGTGAGACGCGAACAAGAACACGAAAAAAGGAAGGACTACGGTGTGTAAAAGCGGTCGCCGTCTCGGAACGGTTTCGCGATAAATGATAACTGCTTTAAATACCAGTTTAGCGCGTGTACCGATGACCGAACCCGCTGCTAACACCTACGGAATCCCCACGTTCCTCCACCGTCGTCCTTCGCGAAATCACGCGTGTTGGAGGTAAGTTGGAAATTTCTATGGCTGTTGGGAGACATGTAGATTTCATTGTTCTTTTTTAGGTAGAGGGTTGCAGGGTTGTTGTTTGCCGTTGGGGATCAAAGGCATGCCGAGAGACAAACATGATTTGGATTAACCACCGTGGTGGCACCGATGTCAACTTCATCCTTTCAACCCTTTTCTAAAGGAAACTTGAACAATTTCAAACAAACTTGAGCGTCGCTCAGTTGCTAATTACTTCCATAGGTTTCGTGACACCTAAGTGCTGCGAAGTAGATCCAATCTGAGATCAAGTGGTTCCTCCTATTTTCCTAAACGTAGCCCAACCTTCCAACTATTCCTAAATTCCCTTTCTAACGCAGAACTTAGAAACTTCCAACCAAACTCGAACATTATTCAATTGCGAATGACTTCCATCATCGTAACCTTATTATCCCGATGATGATCCAATCCTAATCGTCGATAGCGTTTAACCAGATCGCCCAGCCGCCTAGAATGCGCTCAGATCCTGCAAGCTGTCAATCCGCGTATTTCTATATTGGAAGTAGCAGGATCAAGCTAGGTGTTTTCATGTTTGCTTTTACAGACTGGGTAACAGTTTAGCTAACAGAGTCAGTAAGCACTCGGGACCTCCTTTTTCCCAGATACCAGAGGAAACGCTCGCCTCCTCCTGCGTGACGAGATGTTCTCCAATTGGCGCGGCGCGATCAGGTTCAATAAACGCAATTTATGCGGCTCGCGTGCTCGTGTGCAAACATCGTAGAAACGAGTGGCTAATAACTGGGAAATGCTGACCGATCAGCCGATGGAAAATCTATTAGTCGACAGACGATGAAAAGTAAGAAGGTGGTTGGGTGAATTCCGTGACTGGCTGATACGAGCGGTTAATTAGATGCGTGAACAGTAAAATTGTTTCTAGTTTATCGATTTTGCATGGCAATCAGGGAGATAAGGTGTCGCGGACGCCGAGTTTGACGCGTTTTTTTTTTTTTTTAGCAAATGGCGTACTTAACAAATATTAAATGGTTTTGAGAAATGATTTATTCCGTTCTTTAACTTTTGTAAGAAATCGCTCCATAATCCTTTGAAGAATTCTTTGAGAATGATTACTTTTCAATGAGTATATAGTAAATAGACGAGAGAGGCATTTTTATGGAGAAACGATTCCAACCGTCCAAACAAATCTTGAACGATGATACAATACACAATAAATTGTTATAATTCGGGTTTTAATGGTTCTTGGCGCTTTTGCGTCAGGAAATTCCAAAAATGGTCGCTCTCTGAGTCGTCGCTCGCGAACGTGTAGTTCAGTGGCGACTTTCGGTCGCCTCTGCAAATGGTTGAGAGGTGGTCGTAACAAGCCCAGCTACCGGTGAGTTGGGAGCGATGGTCTGTAAATAGAAACTCGGTCGAGAGGGATGCGAACCAGTCCGTTGATGGCGGTCATCGAGCGCGTGAAATCGGCGACTGAGACGTCCATTATTCACCCGAGGTACGGCGACGATGCGCGCAGGTTTTCGCGCGATTAGAACAAACTGCCGCGTATCAGTCTTCCGGCTTTATCTCTCGCCGACGGTGAGTAGAGCCCGGCTGCAACGTATCGAACCACGCGTTCCTTTTGCACCGATAGAAAGGTCTTAATCGAATAAACGAACACGTGTACCACGGTCGTACGTTTAATAACGCCTCCGTCGGAGCAGCGGTTATCTGCGTAATGCACTTC